TTTTTTTTTTTTTTTTTTACTCTTCCCAATTTCTTGTAATCTATGCACTCACTGTACTTTGGGGTTTTTTTGTTGTTACTGAAGCTTTTTAAGACTTTTTTTTTCAGTATTTTTGTGGTTTTAGTACGAAGAAAGTACCCTAATCTGGATATGGTAGGTACTGTCTGAAGGTTTAAATTCTTTGTAAAATAAATAAAATCTACAAATGCTTGTGGGTTTTTCAGGGGAAGAAGGAGGTGTTGCAACACTTAAATCAAAATAGAGAGTTAGTAAATCAGGCCAGGTGAGGAGACGGCAATGCTCACATTATCTCAGATCTTGAGAACAGCTGGTGGGATTGAGATTGGAAGTTGAAGACCCAGTAAGGACAGGTCTGGGAAAGCTGTGGCTGTCGCCACCTGCTTCTTCTTTTTTTTAATTACAAAAAATTTTAAGCACACACAAAACTAGAGAAAATAGTATAATAAACCTACATACCTATCAACCAGATTCAGTAATTTCTAAAACTTTGCCACCTTACTGAAATACTTCTTAATCTGGGCAATCTAACAAAGAAGAAAAACGTTTAAAAAAATCACTAGACTAATGCCTAAAAGTAACATATCTTCACAAATGAAGTTCTGTAGAAACATCAAATATATCCAGCAATGAATTGGATAGGGGGTTCAAACAACCCTAAAGGAAGACATTTAATGATGTGGAAAGGGTATCAGTTTCCAGGCAGGCAAAAGAAAAAAAAAAAAAAAGAATGTGGAGAAGGAAAATAAGCACTATTCTTCAATCAGTGAGATTATAGTAAATCTCATTACAGTATTTTATGTATCTAGGCTGTCCTCTCAAATAACACAGTTCTAAAGGATACAAAGACTGGTGTGTTGGTAAATGTTTAACAATGGGCTTTGTTGGGGGTTGGGGGAAGCTCTATTTTACAGTGTTTGCCAATTCTGTTGTGATTTCCAGTTTCTGTAGTGTTAGTACTTCCACTGTGGCCAATTTCAAACTATTAACAGCCAGTTCACAAAGTTCCTGAACATTTAACAACTTGCTCTTTGAGGACTGGTAGGAGCCAGCACCAGCACTTCACTGTAGGAATAAGAGATACTTGAAATAAGTTGAGGTAAAGAACTGCATGGTTACAGTTGATGAGTTTGATCCCTCCCTTCTTTCTGTCAATTGGTGCGTTTCTATGTTTTAAGTTTACAAAATTGACAAGCTGAGATAATTAAGTAGAATTAACTCATTACAAATATATTGCAATTGGGTAAATTGTATTAAGAAAGGACTATATTATGACTTGAGTTATGAGATACAATGAAATGCATGTGGTGTCACAAAACTACCACAAGTAACAGCATATTGTTTTTTCTGGATTGTCTCATGAGCTATCAAAAGGTCATCCAATTATTTTTAGAAGTTCTTATTTACAATAAAATTTAAACCATCTGGCTGATTTGTGAGGAAGAGGGCTCTCTTGATGCTCCCTAGGTTAGTGAATGGCACCACCATCCATATACCAGATCCAAAGGTCAGAACTCTAAGGCATTCTTGACCCCCTCCCTCTTTCTCTTCCTCATGACCCACATCGAGGTCATCACCATATCCTCTTTGTTTTACCTTCTAAACATTTCTTTAAAGTGTATACACTATTCCATCTACTGCTATAATCCTAAGAATCTACTAAGATCTCTTGACTATTCCAATAGTTTCCTAACACTGCTACTGCACAAGTCCATTAGCTCCCCTATAATCTATATACCACAATGTAGCCACAGTGGTTCTTTCCAAGTGCAAATTCAATCATGCCACCTCCATCCTGCTTTTAAGATCAAGGCCAAAATCTTTAACATGATCTATGAAGCCCTGCTTAGTCTGGCTTCTATCTGAGTCTCTGGTCTCATTCTGTCATCAGCCTTCCTCTGTTTTTGTTTTCAGCCACATAGGTCTTTCAGCTCTTGCTCGCCACAGGGATTTGCACATACTATTTTCTCTGCTTAAAAAATTATTTCCTCTCTCCTTTGCTTAGTTAAGGCATCCTCTTCTTTTGGTCTTAGCTTAAGCTTCAACTCAGTCTCACGGCATCAGATAATGCTCTTTCAATGCATTCTAACTCAATGCCAATGTGTGTTATTATTTGATTAATGTCTACTTGTACTATAAGCTTCATGAAGTAGGAGCAGTATTTATTTTTGCTGGCCACTAATAGCCTCTGATATGAATATGTAGCAAAGGCTATGTCCTGGGAATAGCAGCATATAGAAACATCTCAATAAATATTTGTCGAATAAACAGGAAGAATTTATCATGTGTCTTTCTGGCAGGCATTAGAGAAGTATTTGATAGATTCTCTACTTTGCTCCTTTTTTTTTTGCCAAACAAAAGATGGGCACTATTTTCCAAAATATTATTTACTACAGTAATCTGAAAACCATGTATATATTTTTATGGGATTAGCAGTATTTCTGTTGTGGATATTACTCAGCATCCAGTCTTCTTTCCTCTTCCCTATTAGAACCTTAAATCCAGCCTTCATTCTTCAGGTGAAGTGAATTCTACCTACTCAGTTCCAGAGATGATTCTAAGAATAATTTTCTCTTTACTAGAGCTAGTTTTGGAAAGTATGTGATTCACTTTGGAACAATGTCTTTTGAAAAAATTATTCCTAGCTTTTCTGGGTCAACTTTGGAAAGTTATCCTTATTTTCTTTTATTTCTCCACATATACTCCTCAAGTAAAGAGAACTTGTGTTTAATATTAGTTTTCTATTGCTTCCATAAGAATTATAAATGTAATGGTTTAAACCAACATAAACGTATTATTTTATAGTTCTATTAGAAGTCATTTTTGCAGGACTGAATTTCTTTCTAGAGGCTCAAAAGAATCTATTTCCGTACTTTTCCAGTTGCTAGAGCTGCCCATATTCCTTGGCTCCTGGATCTCTTCTTTCATCTTCAAAGCTAGCAGTACTGCACCTCTTTGACCATTCTTCAGTAGTTAACATTTTCCTCTGACCATAGTGAGAAAAAGTTCTTTTTTAAAAATTTATTTTACAAATGTATCAGTCTGCAATGAATTGAAAAACAAAAACCTAGCTTTTCGCCACATTTTGAGAAAACACTGGTATAACGAACACCTGTATTTTTTACTGCCTATATTTAATTGTTGTTAACAAACAGAGAAATACAGAATTCTTCATAGAGAAATACTGTATAAAGAGGACATAAAATTAGGGGCCTCAAAAGTTTTAATTTTAAATTATTTCTTTAGCTCTTTTTAAAATCATTTCAACTTTTATTTTAGATACAGGGGGTACATGTGCAGGTTTGTTACAAGGGTATACTGCATGATGCTGAGGTTTGGGGTATATATTCCATCACTCAGGTAGTGAGCATAGTACCCAACAGGTAGTTTTTCAACCCACACTCCACTTTCTTCCTCCTCCCTCTGGTAGTCCCCAGTGTCTACTGTTGCCATCCTTATGTCCATGAGTACCCAATGTTTAGCTCCT